CCGATCTCCCCCCTTGAACAGCGCGAACTTGACGAGTTCATCGAGGAGGGACTTGCCACAGGCCGTATCCGCCCTTCGAAATCTCCGATGGCTTCCCCCGTCTTCTTCGTTAAGAAAAAGGACGGAGGACTTCGGTTTGTCCAGGACTACCGCGCCCTTAACGCAATGACGATTAAGAACCGGTACCCCCTTCCGCTGATTAACGACCTTATCAACAGGCTTAAGGGCGCCCGTTACTTCACCAAACTCGACGTTCGCTGGGGCTTTAATAACATCCGGATTAAAGAAGGAGACGAGTGGAAGGCGGCCTTTCGGACCAACCGAGGGGTGTTCGAACCTTTGGTGATGTATTTTGGCCTGACGAACTCCCCCGCGACTTTCCAAACGATGATGAATGACATTTTCCAGGATCTCATTCTCTCAGGAGACGTCATGATCTACCTCGACGATATCCTTATCGCGCATTCGGACCTCCGTAAGCACCGCGAGATCGTCCCGCGAAGTCCTTCGGCGACTCCGAATGCACAAGCTGTACCTTCGCAAGGAGAAGTGCGACTTGAGAAATCGTCAATCAGAGTACCTGGGGGTTATCATCTCTCACAACCACGTCGAAATGGATCCCGTTAAGGTTGCCGGAGTCTCCGCATGGCCTCCGCCCGAGAACAAGAAGGACGTCCAGCAGTTCCTGGGGTTTGCTAATTTCTACCGCAGGTTCATTCGGGATTTCTCGGCCCTAGCGCAACCCCTCTCTTCGCGCTCACCAAGAAAGACCAGAAATGGGCCTGGGGAGACGCCGAAGCCGCCGCCTTTCAAGCTATCAAAGACGCGGTCGTCTCAGAGCCCGTCTTAGCGATCCCGGACGACTCCCGGCCTTTCCGACTTGAAGCAGACAGCTCAGATTATGCGACGGGGGCGGTTCTTTCACAACAATCCGCCCCGGACGGGAAGTGGCACCCTGTAGCGTTCTATTCCAAAAGCTTAAATGATGTCCAGCGCAACTACGAGATTCACGACAAGGAGATGCTCGCGATCATCCGCGCACTCGAGGAGTATCGGCATTTCCTCGAGGGCGCCGCGCATCCGGTCGAGATCTGGACTGACCATAAGAATTTGGAGTATTTCCGAAAGGCACAGCACCTTAACCGTCGGCAAGCCCGATGGTCGTTGTACCTTTCCAGGTTTGACTTTACGCTGCACCACGTCCCAGGTCGCCAAATGGGCCGTCCCGATGCTCTCTCTCGCCGGCCCGACCACGGTATCTCCGACGACAACTCGGATGTCACCCTCTTACGCCCCGAACTGTTCCACGTTCGCGCTTGAGGCCGTCACCGTCTCTGGGCCTGGCTCTGAACTTGTCCGCGACATCAAGGAAGCGCTATCCGGTGAGCCTGACCTAGAGGAGCCCGTCGCGCTTGCGGCCCGGCAACTCTTGAAGGTCCGAGGTCAAGTTCGGGGCCCCCGCTCATCACGTTCGGACGAGTGGGCCGTCTCCGGCGACCTCCTGTACTTCCGCGGCAAGGTTGTAGTCCCTAAAGACAAGGACCTAAGGAGGCGCATCATCGAGCTCTGCCACGATACGCGAGTCGCCGGACACGCCGGGCGGTTCAAGACCTTAGAGTTGGTTTCGCGCAACTACTGGTGGCCGCAGATGTCTCGCCATATCGGACGCTACGTCGCGACCTGCGACTTATGCTGCCGCACGAAGGCCCTCTGAAGGCTTCCGCATGGAGAGCTCCATCCGACCGAAGTCCCGCCCGAACGTTGGCACACTGTCACTGTAGACTTCATTGTCGAGCTGCCCGAGGCCCATGGGTATGACGCGGTTATGGTAGTGGTCGACGCCCTCGGAAAGCGCCCCACTTCACTGAGTGCCATACGACAATAGACGCGGTCGGAGCTGCCCGCTTGTACTATCGGAACGTCTGGAGGCACCACGGAACCCCGAGAAGTACATTTCGGACCGTGGCTCGCAGTTCATCGCTGACTTCACGCGCGAACTCTGGCGCTTAATTGGCGTCAAACCGGCTACCTCCACGGCTTACCACCCGCAAAACCGACGGACAAACCGAGCGCGTTAACCAAGAGCTCGAGCAGTACATCCGGATCTTCACCAACTACCAACAAGACGACTGGGACGAGCTTATCCCTGCCGCTGAGTTCGCCTATAACAACCACGTTCACTCCTCCACTCAACAGGTACCCTTTATGACTGACACTGGTCGGCTCCCCGAATGGGTTTCGAGCCAGGCGCCCGCTCAGAGTTGGAGTCGGTGAACGAAGTTTCGATCGGATAGCAAACGGCGTCTCCGAGGCAAAGGCCGCGCTCGTTAAAGCCAAAGACGAGTATAAACGGTACTACGATCGGAAACGTTCGGACGCTCCGAATATTCAAGTTGGTGATAAGGTTTGGTTGGACGCCTCTGACATTAGAACGACTCGGCCCTCCGAGAAGTTCTCCCACAAGCGCCTTGGACCGTTCAAGGTGCTCGCAGAGGTTAGCAAAGGTGCCTACAAGCTAGACCTCCCCCCGTTACTCCAAGCTCCACCCCGTCTTCCCCGTTGTTAAGCTCGAGCCCGCTCAGGACGACCCCCTTCGATGGACGACCCGGCTACGACGAACCGCCCCCGAACTAGAGGACGGAGTTCCCGAATGGGAAGTCGAGGAAATCTTGGATGCCAGGATAAGGTATAAGCGTCTTAACTATTTCGTCAGGTGGAAAGGCTACGATGCTTCTTCGTCAGGTGGAAAGGCTACGATGCTTCACACGACTCGTGGGTTCGGTTCGACCGTGTCTTTGCGCCAGACAAGATTGCGGACTTCTATCGGAGATACCCGGGTAAACCACGGCACATCGCCTCAGCAACCTTCGACTCGCTGCCCTTCCGTATTATGCGTCGGGACGCCGCATTCAAAGGGGGGGTGATGTCAGGGGAACCCCGCTTCGGCCTCCTTCGGACCCTCCGAACGCATCCGAGGCGCATCCGACCGGCGCCCCCCCGGACGCTCCGACCCACCCCGACCATCGTCCACGGCCTCCTTCGCCCGCACAATCACCGATCCGTCAAGACCCTCCCAACGATCACCTTGGGACAGAGCCTGCGACGCCGCTCAGGCCTTCTGCGCTCTACGTCGGCAGTTACGGACGACCAGTATATAGTTGGCGCCCTAGCAGGCGGACCCTTAGAGTTTCTTCTCTTTGGATCCTCCCCTGCTAGGTCGGTCCCTCCGTGTATTTCCCGTAGCTTTTATTCACGCTTTGGATCCTCCCCTGCTAGGCTTTCGTCGGAGTCTCCAGGGTTGCCCTTACATAGACCTAGCTATTTAATTTAATCACATTGGAAATTACCCTCTAATATTAGAAAGAAAACCGTTATAGGATTAGACATTTAAGGAAGGGCCTTAGGATGGTACCTCAGACACCATAGCATATTAAACTGATTCACTAGGGAGAATTTTACTGTTAAAACTTGTATAATAGGTTTTTCAAGCTTGGGGTTATATTAAGGATTAAACCTAAGCAGATTATAAAGAAGTAGGTTGATCAGGCTTTTCTAAGTGTAGTTGTGGAAGCTGTAAGGCTATTCTAAGTATGTTTCTTTCTATTTTAAAAACCTACTAAAAACTGGAAAGATGTGTAGCTGCGAGAGTGGGACCGTAATAAGACAACCTGTTATAGCTACTATATTGATCTACCTATAATTCTGGTAGGTGAGGATAACGGGGTGGTATGCTAAATTCTTTCTTTGCTGCCAAGATTGAAATATCTAAAGATATCTAAAATGGTTAGATAAGCTTAATACGACACATCTATAAGCAACCTGGTTAATTATATATAAATCTGCAACTGACAACTGTGTGGTGCAGTGCACAGGCAGCACATCAATCCCGACGCAAGGGCTCTGTCACATGAGTGAATTACCATATTTGATGCTGTGCATCCTCGTGACGTTGCTAAATTTTGCGCAACTCCGCCATTGCGCTCGCGGCACTCATCCTGCTGCTCACACCCCTCGGAGCATGGTGCCGCCGCAGACGGCAGAACAACACGTGCATGTGCTTGGATCCTGAGTCTGCAACCGTGACTGCGCCCCTCTCCGACAGGAGCACGGTGGCGCAAGGGTACCGTGCAAAAAAATCTGAGACGTCAGGTCAAAAAAGTGCATTAAGCACCAGCCAGCCCTCCCTACCCTATTGACATAAGCGTGACTAGGCCATGTGACTTCCCAAAAAGGAAATTGTTTGTCATCAGTGTCTGTACAGGACACAGCACTAGGCTCATTGGATTCTATGCCAGGGCCATTTAAGACATATCATATAGGAAGGAAAGAAGAAAATGTAAATGACATGCTTACATGTCATTGTTTATCACTGTACTTATCATCAAACTCTCCCGATTGGTATATAGGCCCTCAAACATTCCATATTCTCTGGCAACAAGTCCTAAAAACATGAAACCGTGCATTTCTGGTCTTCCTGGATGCCCATGAACCTTCCCCAGACACAAGTCCAAAAAGTGAAATTTCACCCCAGTGACCCACCCTACCCTATGTGACATGTGTGACTTGATGTCACCAGCTGATGATCTGCGGTACCCTTGCGGTGGCGGTTGTGGGGCGGCCGGTGTCGGCGATGAACAAGGTGGACGGCGGGAAACGGCGCGGCTACAATGAGGCTCCGGCGCTGGCGGCACTCTACAGCACCGACGGACCCAGCTTTGCGTCCCCAGGCCTCCAGGGCCCGCGGCCACTGATCCGGAGCGGCGTCGGCCCGGGTGTACGCGCACGGGACGCGGACGGACCGCGCCTCGGTGGACACGCTCCCGCCGTACACCGGGGACCGCAAGGCGGAGGAGTCAAGTAAGCTGTTGGAGATTGTGTATGGAGTGCCCTGACGAACGAAATGCACTGACTTTCGAGTCTAGTTGCCTACTTAACTCTGATTGCGAACGCTTGCTTGAAGATTTATTGATTTACTGGTACGGAACAGTAAGCAGTACCATCTATTTCCCGCCGACCAAATGGCCCTTCAGCCCTTTCTTACTCGCAAACCCCGCCCCGCACCCGGGGCACACCGCCTTCGTCACGTCCCCGCCGTTGCGCGCCTTCCAAGCCTCGCCAACGACCGTCTCGATGTTGCCTGGCGTAAGGCAACACACCAGCGCGCAGGCGCGGACTACGGTCACTGCCGCGCCGCGAACAGGAGACGCAGGCGTGAGGTTGTGGATCGGGTCAAAGCGGACGGCGGCCGCGGCCGCGGCAGGCTTCGTTGGCGTGCCATGGCTTCCGCCGGTGGACTTGCGGCCGCGCCGCGGCTTCGTCGGGCTGGGCGATGGCCGGGGTTGTGCGGGAAGGGGCGGCGCCGCGATCTCCGTGGCGAAGTCGTACACTGGGCCTTGCGGCAGGACAAGCCGGTCTCTGTGAGCAGGTTAGTCAGTGCTCAAGGTCACGGTGGCACGGGCAAGGACGCACTGCAGGGCCTGTGCTTCGGCCTTCGCCATGTGGTCCTTGACCGCGTCCACCAGTTGGAGCTGGTCGGCGTCCGTCAGGGGCGGCCACAGCGCGGGGTCGATGCGGGCCAAGGCGGGGTCGCGCACGAGGCGTGGGTCGGGGAGCGGGGCTTGGGGGCGTTGTCTGCGACGGAGCGGGGGATCAGCGGAGCGCTAGCGGGGGCCGAGCGGGGCGTACGGTTGGGACCGGCCCAGTAGCGCGGCTTGCGAGGGCTGGATCGGATACGCGGGGGCATCGTAGCGGTATGCAGGCGCGTGAAACATGTCGAGAGGATGTGGAGTGTTGGGAATGGCGGGTCGAGTGAGGCTTATACCCGTTGTTGAGAGCGCCCCCTTTATATATGACAAGCACTCGAACAAAGCGCGCCGCCATTGTTAGCAGGGGTATCGAGCCAGACCAAGCGTTGCACGCTTTGACGAGTACAGCTTACTAATTTCGGCGTCAGATGGACGAGGGTCTTTAACGCGGGCGGGAGGACGGCCGGGGTTCCGCCAAGTGAGTTGGGTGAGGCCTGCTGAGCCCGCAAAAATATCAGGCCATGTGTGCTTGTCAAGTTTGACAATGGTGAGGGACTCGGACGTGAGCCGCTCGATGTGGCAAGAGTGCACGAGCGGTCGTATGTCCAGAAATCCAAGCGAGAAGTGCGCCTCTGATGCTCCGCCTCCCCGAGGAACTCGCTAGTCGGATTGTCGTCGTCGTCCGGTACCGTGACGGATAAGCCGCATGGCGCAAAGCGGAAGTGGGTGAAGCGCATAGGCCGCGCGAGCATAGCAAAGCGGCGACTAGTGCTGGATATGGCCCCGATAGACTCGGCGTCCAGCAGCTGGAAGGTTTCCAGCCATGGCATCGCGCGCTGCATGGTGGTTTCTGCCAAGGAAGGTGTGCTTACGTGGCATGATCAGTCACGGTGGCGTCGTCGGCAAGCGTGTGTTGACAAATTGATCGCGCGTCACGCGTGGATTACGTCATCGGCTCTTCTCTTCTGTCCTCCACCCTTGACTACGCAATCTTCCCTCGTAGCACGCAACCACTGTCGTTCCCCTCAACGCGCCGTTTCTGACTCTGAAGCCAAGCCTCGGGAGAGCACCGAGCCGGACCGGCTGAGCGGTGGAGGCTTTTAGAGTTCAGGCAGCGGGTGGAGCTGGACGGCGTTGCATGGGACTCGGAGGGAATGGGCTGGGCCCGGGTGCGTCGTCATAACTATTCGGCTCACGCTTTCGATGCCCATGCATGTCTAGCCGCGGCCACTGTGTTGTGACCAAGTCATCCTGTGCGGAGCTGCCTCTGCCGGCTCCGTGCGGCCGAATAACTACCGTTGCTTCCTGGTATACCAACACACTCTCCAACCAGAACGTTAACGCACGCTCAAACTCAAACTCCAACTCAAACTCGCAACCTCCACGCCGCACATCGCGCCCCGCTCAGTGCTCACGCGACGACGCACCCGCCGCCCTTGGGCTTGCCGGGGTGCGTCTCCTCCTCGCGCCCGGGGTTCGGCTGCCCAAATCGTCAGCCGCGTCATACTTACATATCCACGTAAGGGGCGCACGCACGGGGATGATGCCGGTCGCGGCGGGGAGGTGGATCTCCGCGAAGGTGTCCCCGGTCTTGTCGTTCGCGTTGGCGGGGGCGGGTTTGCCGGCGGCGGGTGGCCCGGGTGGGGGAGCGGGAGCGGGCGCGGGGGATTTCGGGCCGCCGTCGGCGGGCTGGGGCGGTGCGGATCAGCTGCGCGACGCGGGGGTGGAAGCAGGGGAGCCGGAGACGCACCTTCTGCCCCTGGTCCGGCACAGGGACGGGGACGGCGAGCGCGGCGGAGACGGCCGCGAGGACGACGAGCACGCCGAGCTGCATATCAAGCTTCTTATCGAAAGGGTGGCAGAGAACGAAGGGGCGCAGGCGGTCCACGCGCTGGGCAGGACTCACACAGTGAGGGGCAAGGAGGGGAAAAGGAAGGGAAGGGAAGGGCGGATGCAAACAAGAAGTTAGCTTGCGCGGCGTCAGCGGGGTTAAGTATATCGCGCGGGGCGATGCACGGCCGGTGACGACCAACATTGCGAACTGGCAGGCGATAGACAGCGAGCAGGGCTGCGTGGGAGCGGCGACGGCCAGGAATAGCGCAGACGCCGGCGAATCAGCGCGCGCGAATCAGGTTCGGGACGCATGCACTCAGATCTAGACGTGGGGGGTGATGGGGTGATCATCGCGGGGGGCTGCTATTCATCGGCGTTGCGAAGCTCGGGCGGCTGGCCCGCATGCCGGAACGCGGCGGCACGTCCCGGACGCGGGCCGACCCATCACCGGCGGAGCAGAACCCTGTTGTGGACGTGGATGGACGTGATGCACGATTCGCGATGCTGATGGCACGCTGATGGACCACATTACCGCGCACAGCCCGTGCGTTCGCCGCGGTGGACAGGGCGCCAGCGATAGCACCTTGGAAGGCGTTACCTGCCTCCCATCTATCCGGGTTCTGCGATGGGGGATGCGAACCCGCGCGGCGGTGCCATCCCGATCTACAGGCCTATTCGTAGACGCCGGTGGCGATATAAGGGCCCGCGGTGCGGGTGACGGCTCCCAGGCCAGCCCTCTGACGCACTCCCTCCCTCCCTCTTCGTTCCCCCCGTCCAGTTTCCTTCCCTTCGTTCCAACGCCGCGCGTTGTTTGTTGCATCACACCTACTCCACCAAACAAAGAAAGAAAAGAACACACCGATATGCGCACCGCACTTACTGTCGCCGTCGTCTGCGCCGTCCTGCTCGCCACCAACACTGCCGCCGCGCCGATGCCAGCGCCCGAGAAGCCACCCGCCGCCGTCAAAGTCGTCGTGCGCGAGCCTGAACTGAACTTTAACCCCTTTGTATGTCGCTGTTCCGTCTGCCGCATCGTTGACACAAACTAATGTAGGGCGGCCACCGGGGCCCGCACGGGACGACGATGGGCCGCGAACTCCACCCCGACGCCGACGCCGATTTAGAACGTCGGGAGCGCCGGCCCGGGGATGACGGCAAGGGCGGCCATTTTTGGGACACGACGATGGGGCGTAAACGCGAGCGCCGTCCCGGGCACCGCGGGCCGCGGCCTGTCGTCGGCCGCGCCGTAGACGCCGTGTTCGACGAGCTCGACCTGCGCGAGGCTCTCCCGGCCGACCCGGCCGACCCGGCCGCGTCCGCAAGCACCAGTGCCGCCGACGCGGGTGCCACGGCCGACCTCGGGGTGCGTATCCGTCCGTTGAGCGAAAAGCGTGCTGACTGAGGTTATTCACAGAACGCGAAGGTCCACGAGGTGGACCCGCAGGAACCGGCCGGGTGCGTGATCGCCTAGGCGTACGAGTGTACATGTATTACCAATACGAGCCATCATATCCGTATTCAGGGACGCGCATGCCCCGCATTCCGTCCTTCTTGAGTGTATGCAAGCAGCGAGCAGCGGTGCCGCGATGGTGTCGTGCGCCGCCACCAGGCTGCCCCTACCCGCTGGCAGACGTGTGTTCGACGCATCCCAGTGCTCAGCAAAACGGCACATTGTGTAGGATGTTTCGCTTTTTCGTGGCCCGGCCACCGCCACCGGCTGCGCACTGCCGATGCTATGTTCGAAGTCCTCCACGCTACTGCCAACGTGACGCAAGACTGCAACTCCGTGGTGTGCAGATGCCGGACGGCAACAAGTGTTCCTTTTTCCAGGCGTGGACTATGCAAGTGGAACCACACACTGAACCAGAATAACAATAGACGACTACGCCGGCCCGGGCCCCGGGGTATCCTTCCTGCCTCTACTCTACAAAAAGTCCTGCTCCGGACCCAACGCCCTGTGTCTGCGGCTGTGTATCTCGCCGTCGCGCAGGCTCCGCGCCAAGTCGCTCTGCTCCCCCGCAGGCACGAGGCTCGCGAGGAAGCCGAGCCCGCCGACAGACGCGGATGTCTTCGGGTGCGCGCGCTGCGACGCCCGGCGAGCGATCCCAATCGGCGCCGTGCGGCCCGGCGGCGACGTGGCCGTGGCCGTGCCCGGCCCGGAGCCAGAGAGCGACGGCGCGCCGCTCGTTCCGGACTTGGTCGACCGTGAGCCCGATGCGACGGGCTGTGGGCTCGGTCCCTCGCGCTCCGCACCTACAACGACGCCCGACGACAGCCCACTCCGGAAGCTCTGCAACCTCCGCGTCAGTGCCTGGAAGACCGTCCCCGTGTCCTGCGGCCCGTCCTCCGCCGCGTGCGCCGCGAACGTAGAGTGGATCGACGAATCAGACAGCCCCCGCCGCCGCAACGTCCGCGCCAACAGCGGGCCGACGTAGTCGGGCTCCTCGTCTGCATCTTCCGTCCCGCCGCGCACACCGACACCGTCCAGGACAGCGTCGACGTTGCGCGACATCCGATTCGGGCCCGGCCTGTTAAGTAGCGGATTGGCCCGCGGGGCCCGAGGATGGCCGACCACAACCCAAGGGTCTGGGGTTCTGTTCCGCGGCGCGCCAGCGAAGATGCCCATCACGTCCGTCGAGGCCGTATTGCTCCTCGTTGGCAATGGTGGACCGGCATCGAAGGTGCTGGTAGTTGCCCGCCCGCCCGCGGCCGCGCCGGAAAACTCGACATTCACCGTCGTCGCAGACGCTGCCAAGGCCGGTCCCAGTTTCGGGACCAGCCGAGCTGGCATAGGGCGCGGAGCCGCAACTGGCGCACGCTCACGCTCATCGCCTTTCGACGGCGGCGCGGTGGGGGTCCCCGCAAACAGCTTCGACAGCGGTGCAATCCAGCCGCGCCCACCGCCTTGCTCCTCTCCTTCCTTGGCCGCAGCCCTGCCCGGGTTCATCGCCGCCTCGCTGATCCTCCCCGCACTCGTCGGATCCAGCACGACCTCGTTTAGCACCACCCGCATCTCGCCCAGCGCGCCGAACATTTCGCGCAACACAGTCAGCAACGCCCTGACTTCCCTCCGCTGCGCCTTTATCTCCGCCTCGCCTCCCGCGCCGCGCAGCTGTTTCCCCATCAGACAGGATCCCGGCCACGGTTGTGCGCGAAAGGTGCCCCACATCGGCGCCGCGAATTTGTTGCCTTTTGAGCCGATTTGTGAGCGACAACGCGTCCGCCGCCTGTATCCGTTGCAACAAGGCTGTCGTGCGCTCGACAATCGCGCCTATGCTCAGAGATTGCGTGCTTTGTGCATTCAGATTGGCCCCGGCAGTAAGCGGCTCCGAATATACGGATGCGTTTGATGAAGGCGAATGCGAGGCGGGATACTGCACAGGCGTTGGGGGTGGTGCATCCGTCTGGACTCCACGGGACCGCGCGAGAAGGAACAACGGCTTTTGGTGTCTCCTTTCCTCCGCTACATCGTCGGCTTCAGGCGGTATCGGAGCCCTGGCCCCGCTGAATGACGACCAGCGCGTCTCCGAATTAGCGAGTGAGTCCGTCGGGGAAAGCGGGCGGCGCGTGGTTTCGGGAGTGAGTGGCTCATACCGCCGGGAAGAACGACGTTCAGTGCTCGAGCTTCGTCGTAATGAATAAGACTGTGAACATGTAAGGAACTTCGGAAAGCAAAACCAGCAGATCACGAACAGGGCTAAGCATCACCGAGGGAACACTTCCGGTGTGGAAATGCTGTCGCAGATGCGAAGGAGTCGCAGCTTAAAGAGCACGAATCAGTCCCCGGATCCTGACCCAGAGCAATTATGGACTCACGCCCACTCCTCGCAGGCGCCGGGTTGATGCGCTGATCCTCTACTTCCTCCTGCAATGCCCGATAGTCCTCCCGTGCGTCCGCCAACAGCGTTTGCAGCTCCGCATTGTCCCGCTTGAGAGTCTCGTTGTCGTCGACCAGCGTCGCCAGCATTGGCGTGAGCTCCGATTCCTGCTCTTCTACCGGTGCGCCGACCGTGCGGCTCAATGCATCGATCCGCTTTCTGGCGTCCAGCAATATCGACTCCGACGATTCGAGCCGGTGTTCTCTTCGCTCTTCCAACGCGCTTTGCAGCCTCCGGACCTCACTCTGTAACTTCGCTGTGGGAATGGCTTACACAGAAAAGAGGGGGAGAACGTTGCCACACACATGTCCTTTCCTTCAACGCCGCAAACCTCCCCTCTGCGAGCCTCGCTCGTTGTCCTTCGGCGTCTCGTTCCTGCTGCATGTCATCCTTCTCCTTCATCGCGGCCGATAGCCTCGTATCCCACCCGACAGAGCGGGCAGCACTTGTAGTCATGCGGGATATCGTCGTCTTTGCCTCTGCAAGCTCCGCGAGAATCGTCTTATTCGACACCTCCGTCACTTCGTTGTTCACCAGCGCTTGCGTCAGCCGCTGGAGTTGGTCAATCAGCCGATGAAGGGAGAAGATATATAGCCACTCACCTTCTCAAGCGCCTTGTTGGCCGCTGCCGCCTCGTCCAACTGGTCCTGCAGCACCGCTGCCTCGCTGTCCCCATCCTCCCGGGCCGCCTCCCCGCGCTCATGTCGCCTGACGTATGCCTCGTGGCGCGCCAAAAGCGCCTGGCCGACCTCTGCCCACGGACCCCATTCAGCCCCTGCACTGCCAAGAAGGACGAAAGCACTCGCCTGCGCTCAGCGTCAGCCGCGCCTCCAGCCGGCCCTTCACTTCGCCCCACGCCCGCAAGTTCGCGCAGCCGTCCCGCCCGCAGCAGCAGGCGGGCGCGCCGGGCGGCTCGGGCGACGCCGCGCGCGAGAGGTCCGCCAGTGCATGGGTGAGGTCGTCGATGGTGCTTGCGGCCGCGTACAGGCTCTCGCGCGTCGTGAGCGGGGAGTCGGGTGTCCGCGCACGGGAGTGGGATGGCGTGTCGTCGCCGTCGCTTGCGCCGTCGGGCTCCATGTCAGTTTCAAAGACGGATGGTGCGGGAGTGTGTCGGCTTGGTGGTGGGGCAGGAGATGTTCGGTCTAGGGGTGAATGTGCTTCGGGCTCGTACAAGCTCAGCGGGATCCGCGCTCGAGCTGCATGGCCGAGCGGAGGAGAGGATGTGTGAGTGTGACAGGGATCTCTTCATTTTGATCTAGTGATTGACGTCACCGTCACGGTCGGGATGGCGACGTCGGCCTGGGGGAGATGATGTTACTAGTAGGGGTTTGGATTTGCTCGTAGACAGTTGCTGTTACACCTTGTCATTGCGCTGAATAAATACAATAGGGCCGTCGACCTACCTATCATGATTCTTGATTCGTGAATCGGCCCGGCATCCGGCGGCCGACGTCAGCGGGCGTGACGAGCGACGTGCTTACGTATCTTTCTTTTTTTCTCTCGCCATGAGCTCTGTAGCTCTGCAGCGTCTATCGTACGGCGTCTGCCAGCGCATTCGCGTGCGTCTTGACAGATGCATACAGTAACGGGCTCGCATCGCCGCCCGCTAACGCTCGCCCACACTCCAACGAAGAGAAGCTTCCAGATCATTCCAAACGACGCCACAGCCCGCGCCTCGAGGCGCTGGGAGTCATCAGAAGCGCTGCACTGCCGGGTGCGCCGATAGACCGCCGCGCGCCTATTTCGGGGGTGCTGCTATAAAGTGCCCGTGCCCAGGAGCGCTTCTCTGACTCTTTCCCTTCCCATGTCGCTACACACAAACCTCCTCCGCCTGCTCGTCCCGCTCTCGCTCGCGCTCGCCGTCGTCGCGGGCACCGTTGCGTTCGGCGTGGACGGGCTTGTGCTTGGCACCGGCCACCGCCTCGTCGATGCTGAGCTGCTCGTCGTGCGCGGCGCGGCGTTGCTGCTCGCTGCGTTCTGGGGCTCCGCCGCGGGTGCCGTCTACGGGTATCTCAAGAAGACCAAGGTGGCCAACGATCTGGAGAGCGGACCGGTCTTCAGTGTGACCCTTCAAGAAAAGGCCCTCCTGCCCACCGTGACGCCTGCCCACGTGCCGTACATCCCACCCTTTCCCCCGGCCCCGCCCATCGTCCCCGCACCATTCCCCGCCATCGCTCCCTTCAACGGCAGCAACGAATACTACCGCTGCGTCGACTGCGCCGCGTTCTTCCTCCTGCCCGGCCAGCTCGCAGACCACATGGAGGACCACCACGGCTGGGAGCAGTACGCCGCCAAGCCGGCCGACGGCTACAAATGCGTCGACTGTCCTGCCCTCCTCCCCGACGCGATGGCGCTGCGCACCCATATGCAGGGCGTCCACGGCTGGGGATACGGCCACGGGTTCGCCAACGTTAACAGCACCGTCGTGGAGAAGTTCGCGTGTGTCGACTGTCCGCTCAGCTTCACCGACAAGTACACGCTGCAGGCCCATCTGGAGGACGCCCACGGCCGCTGGCCGGACTTTGTCGAGCCCCTCGTCCCGGGGCCGCCCGCGCCGGCGACCATGTACTGCAGCGCTTTGGGCTGTGGAATGCCGTGTGCGGGCGTCGAAGGTCTGAACGCTCAGTGAGTTGTCGGATCTCTTTCATACGTCTTCTCTAATTGCTCGCCAGCAAACTCGCTGCACATGGAATCAACCCGCCCCCGCCCCCGCCGCCGGCCTTCGTCACGGTTTTCTGCAGCGTCCTCGGATGTGGCCTGGCATTCGCCGGCGCGGATGCGCTGAACAGCCAGTAAGTGCCGCCATCTAGCTGTCTGTTTTTCGCTCTTAATGGTAACATTACTTCCCAGTAAACTCACCGCGCATGGCATTCCGTTCCCAGCCCCAGCGCCAGCGCCCGGCCCGATGGCGGCTACTTCAGCCGTCTCTCTTTACTGTGGCTACGCCGGGTGCCCCATGTGGTGCCCGGGCCAGGACGCACTGACCTCCCAGTACGCCCATCACAGGCCGTGCTGCTCACGCTGACCGCTCGCAGCAAACTCGCCGCGCATGGCGTCCTTCCGCCCCCGGGCCCTTCATCAACCACGGCTTGGGGCTTCCCGGCGGCAGTGCCATCGCACGCAGCGCCATACGCCCCCGCGCCAATGGCATCGCGCTACCGTGACACCCCCTCCCCGGCCCCGGCGCCTGCACCGAGCACCACTTTCCCCGCCTACCCGCCCTTCAGCAGCACCCCCGACGCCTGGCACCCCGGCGCCGCCTGGGCCGCCCGCCCCATCGTCCCCTGGCCGGCGCCAGCTCCGACCGCCCCGCGTCCGGCCTACCCGGCGTTCGACTGGGACGCGCCCCCGCCGCTCGTGCCCCCCGCGCCGTGGGCGATGCCCGCAGGGCTTTCCGGCCCGCGCACTCCGTCGCCGGCGCCGTCGCCGACACCCCCGCCGCCGCCCGAGCTGCTGGCGGACACGTTCCCCGCGACGCGGGCGCTGTCGGACATCACCGAGGCCACCGAGGCGGGCGAGGTCGGGAAGGACAACTTGAAGGCGGAGTAGGTGTGGGGCGAGGGTCAGAAGAGACGGGAGTCGCGCAACTCCGAGGGCGGTGGGTGGGGAAGGGTCCAACTTGAAAGGAAGTGCAGTGGTTTTCTTGGTGTACGAAGTATCTATGCGGCTTGTGATGATGACGACGAGATATAAAATTCAAATCACCTTTTCTTCCGGCTGAACAGCTGAACTAAGAGGCCCGTGGGCCCCAGGCCGAGCCTGAAATTTCTGGGGGGAAGACAGGGTGGGCCGTCTTCCCCTGTGTGTTCGGCATCATGATGTGATATGGCCATTGACAAATGATGGGCATACGGATCACAATAAAGGCTGTGCACCCCTTTTCTTTCTCAGACAAGGTGCCGAGTACGCAACGTAACTCTAGCCCTCTCACAGTACACAGCTAAGCCGTCTCTTCTACCGTCGTCGCCCAGCAAAGTCTGACGCGGAGCCGGCGCCTCTGAAGCAGAATAAGTACGGCTTGATCAGGTTTTTTCATGGCAATAGCAACTGCAAATATGACTCTGTCACTACCTAAGTGTCACTTGGCATATCAGTCACTATGGCTACTTGCTCAAAAGGTCTCTTGCTTAGGACTTTCAACACATAAGGAGAAGGTTGATGCAATTTTGCAGTTAAGTGAACCTAAAAATGTTCATGAGCTCCAACAATTTTTGGGTATGATGGTTTATTTTTCTGCATACTAGTATATGCCATTTTATTCCTAAATTGCACTTCTTTCAACTGTTGAAAAAGGGCACTAAATGGGAATGGACAGATCTTCATCAGGAAGCTTTTGAGCTTGCTAAACAGGTGCTGACAAATGATCCTGTGCGTGGTTATGCTATGGCGGGTTACCCTTACCGTGCATATACTAATGCATGTGACTATGGCTTGGCTGGCATACTACAGCAAGTACAACCTATGAAGATCAGAGACTTTAAAGGCACCAAACTGTATGAGAGATTGGAACGTTCACACTAGAACCCATTCCAACTCTTGTAGCTGCAATTAAAGGTGTTGAAGATGTTCCCAAACCTGGTGAATGGGCAGCAGAGTTTGAAGATACAACTGTTCACATTGAAAGAGTAAGTTCTGAAATCTGGACTTAAAATAGTCTATTGTGCAGGTCAAGTTCACTCAAATGAAGATCCTATTTCTCGTCTTTGAGGGAGTTCCACTTCAAGATAGTCCTACCACAGATACAATTCCAACTGTAGAGTTGACTGGGGGGGAGATCCTTTGAAAAATATGCATGAGGAATCAGGCCCTATGTTTGAAGAGAAGTTACTTTCTTTGGGGGAAAAGAATATATAACTGGAGGATAACATTCCTGCAGACACATCTATAATACTTGAACTGGAACAAGAGTCCAATTCGAATTATGTACAGTGTCCGAGAACCGCCAGGTCGGTGACAGCCCAGCTCGGCCGGTCACAGTGCTGTGCACTGAGCCGGCTTGCCCCATCCAGGGCCATCCTCATTGTTTCTCAATAACGCATTGTCCTCAGCTCCGTCCGCCAACGATGCCCCCGCTGCCCAGAGCGGCCTATTTAAGCAGCAGAATGCCCCTGCGATAGGCCTGCGTTCACCTAACCCCATGTCACCTGGTATGTACAATGGAAACGGCCATGGCGACAATGCCCTTGGTAAGCACTGGGTTATGGTAGTTTGATTAAATCTGACTGTTGCAGCCGTTGAGCACCCGGACCTCCCGCGCCTGATCCAGCAACTCATTGATGATGGAGAGAAGCAGGCTGTGATGCCAAAGTTGCTTCAAGACCGCCATCATATCACAATCTCGTGCACATTAGTTCTTATGACTTTTACAACACCTCTAACTGTGTTACAGGAAGCGCAGTGTCGAGCACATTATCAAAAGCCACCAGCTCAGAACCTCACGTCATCCGGGCATCTCTCAGCTTGCGCAGACCACCGCAATCCTCTCATTTACTGAAAATGATCCGCTCGAACGCTGGGGAAGATGGAAGGTGAAGGAGAAGCTGGCAATGCGAGGTGTTCATGTTACACGGTGCGCAACGGGGGTCTTCATGATCTCAGCTTTTGACCCATTCTGCGTCATCGTCGGGATCTGGCAAGGGGTTCGGAGGGTCTGAAGTAGCTCCAAATTGATCCTCAGCATCATCTGGGCCAGCAATGTCAATGGCGCAGATGGTGGGGAAGGCACCTGTGAGTAGTGGTGATTTAAGGAGTCGGAGGCGCCCGAACCTCTGCGCGTTCGGTCTGTTCCTCATCTCGGCAGGTAGAGCAGCTACAAGGGCAGCGACTCATTTTCACCTCCTTTGTTTCCCAGTTGATCTTGGGGTTATGCCTTTTTGAGCCAGGAGTATAGCGATGGCCAAGTCCGGTTCGGTCCGGTTCTTGGCCATTTTTGGCCGAATGCCGGACCGCCGGTTCGGTTCAAAATCGGATTTGGCCGAACGTGAACGCCGAACGGCGGTTCGAACCGGCACTTTTTAGCCCAAAATGGCCGAACCTGGCCGAACCGAGGGCCAGGTGAAACGCAGTAATCGGAAGGACAGGTGGAAAGGGAACTAGACAGAACTCAAAACTCACTCACACACAATCACACTATACTCCAATCCAATCATTCTTCAGTCCAATAAGTCGAACCCTAACCCTAAGTTAAGGCTTGTCCCAATCCAATAGTCGGTCCAACGTCGTGCGGCGCAAGTACGGGGGTTCCAACCAAAATATATGGCTGTGGCAATCCAGATGCTCAGTTCAACAATCCAAGGTAGGTGGGTAAGGGGTTGGTAGTCAACGTTGTAGTCAGTTGGTAGCGTAGCGTATAGGTCAACCAAGTAATGTACTGCGTTCGAAGCAGCGGCGGTCACGTGTTCTCGGGTTCAGCGGTGTCGGGTACTCAAATCAAGTCGTTGTCGTTGTCGTTCGCGTTCAGCAGTACAGGAGAACCAAAACCGCCTTACGGGGCGCGCTTTCTTCTGCCCTACTTGCTACAATACAGCGCTCTTATATACCCCAGCCCGTCCGCGGCTCTGGGGACCTCCGCGGTCACGTGCCTGACCTCCGGCCCTCCGCGGCCTACTTCTGACGCGTTTCACCACTGCGACGCGTCTCAGCATCCCCCTGGACCCCCTTCATACACTACCGGACCCCTAGGGCCTCGACCCGCACCAGTTCTCCCTCGGAATCCGTCCCCTCGGCGCGTTTGGAGGTGGTTCGGCCTCGGTCCAGGGCCGGCCGGGCGTTTCAGCTCGCGAAAAGTGTCCGCGGGGCCCCGCGCGTTCGATTCCACGCACGTACGTGTCACGGGCACGACATCTCCCCCAATTTTAAATCCTGAGTGTCCTCACTCATTTATCTGACAGCCGCCAATGTTCCATCTAGGCCTTCTTCGTGATCGGCGTCTTGACTTTACGACACTCCGCAGGCCGAGGCCCTATTATAAAGCCAGACCTGCCACGTCGTTCGCTCGCCCATCTTTCCTCTGGCTACTCATGTCTTATCCCGCCGTCTTCGACCATGCTGGCTTCACCATCGTCCCACCAACTTTCTACGACACTCCTGTTCACACACCCGTCACCGAACACTCGATTCCGCTGACCCGCGTCGCGCTTGCCACGTCAGTGGGCCCCAACGGCGAGACCACGCTTCCTCGTGTCCACGAGCATCCTTTTCCACCAAACAGCAACGAGGTGCTCCGCGCCATTCGTTTTCGCGGCCCAGTATGTTTTTCCTCATGTACCCGTCCGAATGGCCCATTAACCAGCTTATAGAACCTTGGAAAGTGCGCCTACTGCTCTGAAAACAACCTGTCTTGCCGTTTTCGATCCAACGGCGTCTCGTGCGCCAACTGCATCTTCGGGGCCATCGACACATGCTCCTTCGTCAATCCGTCTGTGTTCTTGAGCTCACTCCGGGAGTGGCGCGACGGCGAAATTCGAGGAATCTGGGTCGAGTTGGCCCGGCAGATCACAGACCAGGCTCAGCTTGGTGAGTACTGTCTATTTCCTTGCTCAACGCTGCCGCTGACTGTTTCCTGGTGCAGACATATGCTGTACTCATGCTGTGGAGCATGCCGACCGTTCCACGCAGGGCGCGATCGCGCTTTTCGAGGTGCGTGCTTCCCGTTGTGTCTTGTCCTTGTCCTGATTTCCGTACCCTCTCTTCAGACCTTGTCTTCGACCTTCCGCGGCTTCGCGCGTGAAGGTTACAACGACCTCGCCAATCTGCCCAGTGACTCCGACCATTTGGCTCGTGTAGTTTGCCTCGCACTTGATTCGCGGTTCGTGTAGAATGTGTCATAATTTGTGTATATTTATCGTCAACTTGAGGTTGTTTGTCGTCCCATCCAATGTGTGCCCTCGCTGCTTGTCCGCGGCTTACTCGGTTTATCTCTGAAAACTTCTAGCCCGCCTGGAGTAAAAGAACCCAGGAACTGTCTCTTCACTTAAGCTTTGACATCCTTCTTGCTTTCTCTGGCTTCTCGCGCTGCTCGCGTGTCTTGCAGATCCCCAGTCCCCGCTATACTGCCACTTACCCTGGTATATTTACCAGGTTACGCTTGCTGAGACGGCCCCCCATTCTTATCGCATGCCGTCTGTTATCTCGTCTCCTCCCTCCAGCGCTATGTCTTCGACCTGGGACGATGCCGCGACTTTCGCTACCGCGGACGCTCTGCTACCCTCATTCGAATGGCGCTTCCTGCGTCCTCCCAAGGCTATCGAGTTCATCTTCGACGGCCAGGGCGATGTCATCTTTCCGGTAGTCAGCGAGCACCCCTTGCCAGCTAGTAGCGCCGAGGCCGCGCGGGCCGCTCAGCATCGACTTGACGTGCGTGCTTTTGCCTTTGCTGTCCTCCTGACTAACTTCTGTGGTAGGAGCTCCAGCGCTGCGCTTACTGCGCTGAACGCAACTTGGCTTGCCTTTTCCGCACCATGGGCGTGCCGTGCGCCAATTGCGCAGCTGCGGGGTCTGACGGCTGTTGTTTCCTCGACCGACTTCTCTTCCTCGACTGCCTCAGCGAC